TTCCACGTACAAAACATGAACTGGGCTCCAACATTACTAAAACAATAATGCATTTGCCTTGTTGTTATGCAGTATGCTTCCACTTTGTTCACACAATCACCTAGGAGACATGTAAGCCCTTTAATAAACAGGGTATTCTAGAATTCTTTGGATTGATACATAACCGTTTTAAGTATATATAACAGGTCTGTGACGAAATATTGTCTTCTGTGGGGAAAATTCTGATGAGAACAAATGAAAATTAACAAAGCTGATTCCAATCAGGCTGAAAAAACACATCTTTCCAACTAATTGGCAAAATACTGGTTTGCATTTCTTCAGTATGTTCTTCTCCTAAATCCCCTGGAAGCTTGCCAACAAGCCAGAACACTGAAGCACCATGCTGGTGAGCCCTACATGAATCACATCTGTGTCGTTGTTTTCAGCCTTCTAGGCTTGAACATATTGAAAGAGTCAATGCTTGGCAGTAAAGCAAATAGGCTATTTTCCTTAAAGAAAGAAAAATCTATTATTCGTGTGCTGGAGTCTGAAATCCTAATATTTACCCTTGTCTAAATAATGTGTAATTGAGCACTAGCATAAACCAACTCCAGATTTCCCTCAAAACCATTGTTTCCTTTCTTAAAAATAGAAGTGGAAAGCAATTTAAAATCATCCTTTCATTCCCACATTAATTCAGATAAAAAATTAGAGCTCAGTCCTTGGAGTCAAGAGAAAGACATAGCAGGAAAGGGGGAGGGGGATTTCCACTTGTCTGCTGTCTGAATCCACACAGACATCTGTATCTAGGGTAGCTGCCTGGGATCACTTCACAGTCAATGGAAAGAAATGGGCATTTCTAGAGGACAATTTCTCTGACATATCCTAAACATCTTTATTTGGGATAGGGTAAACCAATGCATTCCAAATGTAAGTACTTCATGAGCTTCAGGTAAAGCCCAAGGTCACAAGGACTAGTTTTAGTGAAGCCCTGAATATGCATTTTTTCCTTCTTGAGTGAATTTAGCTGGAATTAGATAGAAGTGTCTCCAGTTTTAAGAAATAATACTTACTGGTTAGATATAGCTACTTTTGAGATGTTCTTGAAATTTCTATGTTTTTCAAGAGGTATTTTTGTACCATAAAAAGTGAATTTTATTTTGCTGTAAATGCTGCTTTTGGAGATTCGAAAAGAATTTTCTTTCTCAAAAAGAAACTTTTTAAAATGCTGATCCAGATGAAACATTTATTGCCCTGGTTTGCTTGTTTCTTTGTCATAACTGTGGCAAATGAAGTATTTAAAACTAAGATTCCCATAATACTTTATTAAAATTGAAGGACAGTACCTTACTGCTGGATGATGTTCTCTGTACCTAATTAGACAGTCTTGTCTGTGAAGCAGCAACTCAACTGAGGAACAAAAGTCAGTGTAAAGAAGATAAACTAGATGACCTGACTACTTATCTCCAGACTTATTCAAATCTGTCTTTTGACCTCTTATAGATTAGTAAGGAAGTACTAGAAGTGTAAGCTATAAAATGGGATAACAGCCAAGAAGAGATAGATGAGGAGGAGACAGGAGGAAGGATGCCGACCATCTTTGCTGATCAATGAGAGAGGAAAACAAGATCTATTTTATAATTCAGAAATCCTATTAGAAAAAAAAAATTAGATACTGACTGATTACCATTAAAAGTTTACTATTACAATTACATTCCATGAGTAACTTCAAGGCAATTTTCATGTGATGCTTATAGATGTTCAGCGAATTAGACATGCACATGACCATGACCTCTTCACATAAAATTTATTCAATAATAAAGTTAGTTCAAGTGATAATGATACTGCCTGTTGGGACTTGCTGGAGGATCCCTGACATGGATGTTTTAATTATGTTATGGATATACTGTCTTGAGATCACTGTCCTTGTGCTTACTAGAGAAACCCCATCAAGCCTATACAAGCAGTTCACAATTCATGTCTAGGGATCTAGCAAAACAGGAGCAATTTTTATTCAATATAGTGTTCAAATTATTTGCCTCTTTCCTACAGTTAAATATGCAGTTTCTTAGAATATATTCCTTAGTAGAAATGCACTTTGGTTAGGCAAAACTTCCATCCCAACAAATGTTGTTTTTAGCATTAGAGCATGTCAGGTTGCTGTTTAAAACCATTTTTAAAGTTCCAAATGTCTGAATGGAAAAGGTGCTGTACCATGGGTTTTGCCTGCTCAGATCTCTACGGCTTCTTGTGACTGTCAAGAAGGGTTTCTAATGTTTTGTTGCACTGCCCACAGAGGGGGCTGGCAAACAGCAAAGAGTGGTTGAGTCACCAGCTGCTTGAGAACAGGTAAAAAAATGGGGACTGTGCTTAGGCACAGGTGAAGATCATCTTAAATCATATTTACTTTTACAAACTTCCCTACCTTCTTCATAGAATTTTAGCTCTGGCTTATAGCAGTGACTATGAAAATCACTAACAATTACTATTAATTTTATCAAGACAAAAGCCAATTCACATTGAAAAGAGAAGTCTTTTGCAGACAACCTTGGACAGACACTGATTTTTACCGGAAGGATACCATTGTTTTCTGCAACAGCCAAATATATATTTTACTGAGGATAAAGCTAGATTTGCAATGATAGCATTTAATATAGACTTTAATCACTCAGTCTTATCTCTAGTATTTAAGAGAGTTGTATTTGACTGTATTACTATTTTTGGACATGCCGTATTCAAGGTATACTCTCTAAACAGCCTAGCAATGATTCCTTGCTTAGGGATCAAGAGTCAAACATTTGCAGATGCTATTTTATGTCCTGGCTCAATTAGCAGAAAAGGGTTGTGAAAAGCAGTTTTTACATGGTCCTGATAAATCCCCTGACTAAGCATACTTTTTGTACTGGCTGCAGATGTTTACCTGACTCACAGATTCATGAAATCTGACAGAGATGACTTTGAGGTCTCCATGTATATACCTGATGTATGCAAACATAATTAATATATTAAATATAAGCCATGCTGGGGCAGTAATTACTGAATTATGTTTGCAGATATAATGCCAATAATATCTATGCGACTCCCTCAGACTATATTTTTCCTAAATATGCTGTACTGTTGTTTTTTTCTCTAAAAGTAGGCAAAGCTTCAGTGGTTTCCTTAACTCCTTCTTGCAATCACAAGAGTTATCATATAATCAGAAAGTAGAAATATCAAAAAGGAAATTGGTTCTTTCTTACTGAAGGACAGACTCACAGAATGGGTGAGATTGGAAGGGGCCACTGGAGGTCATGTAGTCCAAGCTCCCTGCTCAGATAAGGCCCCCTAGAGCACATAACTCAGGGTTATGTCCAGTTGGCCTCTGAGTATCTCCAGGGAAGGAGACTCCACAACCTCTCTGGGCAACCCTCAAAGGTAATCTTGAAAACCTCGATTCACACACAACAATTTGTTTGCAGTGCCAGGGAGGTGGAATCCCTGGATCGTGTGAGGCAGGAGCTGTTTGCTGTCAGCCGCAGAACTCGTCCTCAAACAGGGGAGACCTTCAAGTACAATAAACTTCTGTTTACTGCTACAGGGAGTCAAGAAGTTCCACCAAACAGTGAGTAATTATTTTCTTCCACATAGGAACACAAGTCTTCATTGAAATTCAAAACAGAACTAAAGAAAAAAGTGGCACTAGTAGCAAGTTTAGGATAGTAGCCATCTTCAGGAAATATCTTCAAATTCACTGTGCACATCTGCTAAAATCTATAAACCGGTTTTATGTCACAGCCTTTCAATCCTCTATTTCCTTCTCTTTTCTCCCCATTCTGTTATTCAACAGCATTTCACCATGACCACCTGCTTCTGCCAAGAAACTGTTTCTTCCAGGGACAATTTTAATTAAAATACTCTCCTAATACGTTCTCAGGTGTAGAATTTTGTTATTCATATCAGCAGTATCTGGAAACTGTTTGATGATCCTTACTATCCAAACTCCCCTTTAATAATCCACTCCAGTGCTTTTCCACGTCCTGTTCCTGAGGATGTGAATGCTTCAGGAGACAGACCCCTAAGCAAGCCTTGGCCTCTTCTCCTGCTATGCCACAGGACTGGCATTAGTCAAGCTACACTATCAGCATTGCAACTTCTCTTTAGTTCCCCTGGTCCCCATGCCTGGTTTAGGGAACTGAAAGGTAGCCATGCCACTACACTGGAAACAACAGGTAGGAACTAAGAGGTGGAAAGGGCTCCATGAGGTCCTTGCACCATTTGGCCCTTTGCATTGGCAGAAAACAATTTAGCAAGTTCAGGGAAAAAAGCCAGTTCTGGTCTGAACTAGAACTGAACCCTCTAGAGGTAATGAATACAGTTCCTGATTTATGACAGAGGCTGTCACGTGTTCAGGAGTAGTAATTGCAGAGATGGAGAACACACATAGAACAAAGTACCACTAATGATCAAACAGACGTTCAGAAACAGAAACCAATCAGCTAATGACAGAATGTTATTCGCCATTTTATCAAATAACTTCAATTTTTTCCTTTAATGGTAGTCCATACTTAGGCAGTATGATGACATCCCATCTTATGATATAAAGAAGAATGGAAGAGAATGTTTCAGGAATAAAACAGGGGTAGTCAGAATTAGAACTCAAGGAGCTATGAGAAAAGAGTAAGATATCTTTAACAACGTTTATACACAGAATCATCAATGTTCAGCTTTTTTGCTAATTATAACATTATTTATCAACGTTTCAGAAAGCTACTCAAACTATATTTATCTGAATGTTTAGTTTGTGAGATCTGTCTTGGAGAAATATTTGCTGATAACTGATACATTTCCTTTATGAAGCTGGTGTTATAAGCAACAAGCATTGTCTGCTGTCTTGTTCACTCTTTAGCTTAATAACTCCTCAGCTATAGGTGTTCACCAAGAAGCAAACACACACGAGCAGACAACAGCATCAGAAAGTGTCAAAGATAAAAGCCACCTTCTTAGTACAAGAATGCTTGCAATGTATGGTTTTGTTCACTTACCTTGACAAAAACAGGCTTTATTTCATGGAAAACTGCACTTCCAAGACAAACAGCAACATCGATAACTAGAAGGTAGAACAAAAGAAAAAGAAAAAAATCACTGATGGTAGGAAACAATTAAACCCTCAACAAAGCAGTGTGTGGTGCGGCAAATAACTGCAGCACCTCTCAGAGAAAAACATTTCAGTATCTGCTACTTGGAAATGAGGTGGACCTGGTACCCTGGATCAAACAGAAATAACCAAGCAGTTATGAGGGTATTTTTTAACCTACCAAGCAGGCCAAGTTCTACAAGTTCTGCATCATTTAAAGTCCCCTGTCTGATCCAACAATTGTAACACAAGTTAAATGAAAAGATCAAATTTTTAAAAAATCCATTTTAACTCAAGAATTGAGGGGGTTGAAATAGTGCATACTTTAATGTCTCTTATATTATGCAAAACAGTGCAGGGTAGTGTAAAAAAACTATATCCAGCAGTTAAAAAAAGATGTATCCCTGCATCTTGTACTACTGAAGCAGTTTTTTCTCTCATTAACTACTTCTAAGCTGAGGGATCAATGACAGGCATCCTTAAGTGTCTGAGGCACATATATCCCAAGGAAGGGGAAAAAACTGTTTAGTGTGGCCCAAGGGGTAGGAATAATAGGATGAAACAGAGCAAAGGCTGAATTTGGAATGGAAATGCTGATAATTAAATGTCCTTGACCATGGAATAATCTCCTAAAGGTCTTTGTGTCATCTAAGCTATTTTAAAATGGGTCAAACACTTTGAAATTTACTGAAAAGAACTATTCTGTGTTGACACAGGGACAGACAAGACAATGATGTAAGTAAACCTTGTTTATTTAGAACTTTTTGAGTTCTATTAATTCTAGTTTTTATTTGTTGGGGAATGATGGTTTCTTCTAAGTTTACTTGTTGTTGCATTGTTTTCCTACTACTTCCATCCTGCCTTCAATTTTATTTTGACATGTTTCACTTGACTGGAAGACACCAGAGTTAGAAAGTTTGCAGGAGGAAGACTTAAAAAGTATGTGTATACAAACTCAAGGTTTGGAAATTCATTCAGCAACTGACCTGAATGAGTTGCCTATGTGTAACATTTATTTATTTCACTAAACAGTACGCTCACTTTACTTTAACTTGTTGGTATTGTCCTTCCACATTGTATGGATTTAAACTGAAGGAGGCTGTAACAGGGAAAGGAATCTGTAAATGAAACTTATGACACAAGAAAGATAGATTTCTAAGAGGAAACAAGAAGGAAGCTGCTCATCTGCAAATATTCGCTTTTGCCTCCAAATATTTCCTCTTCCCTCCATGTCCTGCCCCAGAGCCTGATAGATACCATTACAAACACTGTACTAAAATGCTCTAAAGAAAAAAAAATCATTGCTTTCAGCACTGCTTGCAAACAGCTACTAATGTCTCAACAAATAAAAAGCCTGTCATCATTTTGCATAAATGCCTCTAACACTATGATTGCAACCAATACTACTACAAAGTATTTCCTAGTCAGAGAGAAAATTAGTATCAGTATTAAATATTCTGATAGTAATAACAAAAATCAGCTGTAATTTAAAGAAAAAAAATTAATTCCAGAAGAAAACGCATGAAGAACACTTTCTTATGATGTGAAATTTATTTTCTTCCTTAGCCAGAGAAAAGAGATTTTTTACATTCTAATCAGACCTGAGTTTTTACTTGGATACATATCCTTGTTTATATTTACATAAACTACATGGTTGAGTATATCCAAGCTGTATTCTACCATTCTGTAAGTTCAATTTACGGTGACCCCTTCTAAAAATACTCAGAAAATATGCAAATATATGCATATGCAAATTTTTGTCAAAGAGAAAAAAAGAATACCTAATTAAAAAGCAAAGTTCTGCATGACCAAATTTTAAAATAAAGACCTACATGCGGGTGCATTCATATCATAAACCTAATTGTCAGCTTTAAACTGCACAGTCACACAAGCAAAGTGCATATTTCTATGTGGAGATGGCTGTGCACAAATTTAGAAGTAGCATTTAGGCACAGTTGTAAAAGCTCTGTGTCTTTTTTAATTGCTTAACACAGGCTCTTTTGCCCAAATAGTTCTGGAAGAGGCAACAGATTCACAGTTAAGGGGAGCAGCATAAATTCACCAGGCTGCTGGCTAAATCTAAGAAGAAACTGAAGTTATGTCCAGTATTCAGTTTGAAAGACACAAATCCTCTAGATGAACAAGTTTATTGAAATTAAATGGCAAAATACGGCAAGCCAGAATTATTGTGCATGGTTTTGAGTCTGAATTGACTGATTCTTACCAAAGCAAGTGCAAATCATACAGAATAAAACACAACCTGGAACCTTCTTTTTATCTTTTAAGGAAGATTTGATTTTTTTATATGAAAAGTTGAAATATTACAGAAAGGTAGAATGAAGATATACAGGAAGAACAAAAGCACAGAAACCTTCAGTGACTTATTTACTTAAGGTCACAGAGTAGGTCAGCATCAAAGAAATCATGAATGTACCTCTCTCCAGCCCTGTGCAGGCAGTTGTACATCTACTTCTCTGTATTGCAAACCAGTTTTACATTCAAAAAATCCAATCCAAAAGCTGTGGAGTTAAGTCAGGCTAATATGTCCCATCTCTCTGGGATGCATTTGGTTTATACCTTCTAACGCTGTTTGGCTGCTCCTGGTCTGGAAAGACTCTCAGAGCTTTGAGATGGCAAAAAGCCCCATATCTGAGCATACAGGTATGCATTGAAAAAATGCCACCTCAGAGACAGGGAAACCCAGAGGGCTGGTGTAGGAGGAAGAACAAGTTAATCTGCTGCTGGGATTAGCTGTAATCGCATTAGAAGGATAAGGCCCAGTCAAGTGCAGTGAAGTGCTCAGCACCTCCCTACAGAGAACTTGGTCAGAGCAGACAGAGGTGATGGTTGTCCTGCCTTGAAGGGGTTACACACCAAGCCCAGCCTTGCTCTCCAGCCCTCAGGAAAATCAACCTGACCCACGACTCTGCTCAGCAAAAATCTCCATGATTGCTGTTCAGCACTATGAACAGTCCAGTATAGGAGCAAAGGCGAAGAGAGGGGAAAAACTTACACATGGAATCACTAATTTACAAATCCCTAATCACTTGGGGATTTTTAAACTACCTACTCCAGGAAAAGATGCGATTTTCCATTAGATGAGTGAAATGGAGTCATAAATACAAAGTTGCAAGAATAAACTAAGCTGTATAAGCACCATTAAATCAGCATTTTGGGACTGGTGTAGAACACTTGTTTCCCTTTCAAAAGCACATAATTTAGTAAAGCAGTATAAGAAAACCTCCTGGAACACAGTGTGTGTTACTATATCAGAACAGGGGATTATCTGCTGCCGTGCTATTTGATTAGGCATTAAAACGGAAAAACAGTTTTCAGTGCCCAGTGATAAAGATTAATACAAATATAAGCTACCATAAAAGAACAAAAGTCCAACAAAACCCTTATTGACCAGTTTCAGCCAAGTGGTTTAATCCAAATGATGCAGGGGAACAAACAGTAGGAAGATATAAATTTCTAAGAGCTGGAATACTTCAACAGCTTTTAGGCAAGATGAATTCCTATGTTTTACATATTTAATGAATATTATACTATGGAAAAATAGATCCTGGACTTAGAAGAAAATTCAAAGTTACTGCCTTCTAGAGAAGATTTCCAGGTGCTCTCTACTGTTAGACAGAAGAAAAATAAATAAATAAAGAGAATTAAATGATCACAATCCAATCTTTAAAGTCCCTTGACAAACGTAAACTTCAGTGAATACAATTCATTAAAACCTAATTACAAAAAAATCAATAGTGCAATTTAGCCCAGCCCAAAACTTATTGTAATGCATTGAACATTTGAAAACTCAGGTCTTTATGAACAGGGCTGAAGTGACATTGTATTTACATTGTAGGGTTTCTCTGTAAAGCAATTAGCACAGGCTGCCTGACTTCACTTGAAAAGGATATCACAATAAGTAGCTCGAGGAACAGTATATTTGTAAACACTCCCTCTCAAGGATGCAGTGAGAAAGGAAATTATACTACTAACAATGGGCTATAAAATCAATTTAAAAGAAAAATTAACTATTCATACTCTAAATACATACTCTTCAGGGTTCACTGTTTTTATTGTTGTTTATGGAATTAAATGGGCATATTTTGCTTTTAGTTATGTATCAGGAAATCCACTGACATCTCTGACAATGATAGAAAAATATAGGCTAGACTATAGTCACTATTTTTCAGGAAAATCAGACAGAATTGATTCAGAGTGATAGTAATCAGCTTTTACTGGAATTACTTTAAAATTTAATTTTTATAATATTTGAAAAGCATTCTAATTGTCCTAAAATGTAAATAAAACTGCTACTGTAGCATTTTTTAAAACTTAAATACGATGGAATACTATACAAAGATGATTTTCTATTACAGATTGCCCTAGAGGGCTCTGAAACCACATACCCTGACCAGCTTCTCCTAGTGTTTGGGTTTGTAATTTTAATCCATTTGTCTTTCTCTCAGACTAAAAGAACTGATGTTACAGCAGTTCAAAGAACATTGAAGCCACATAAGGACCTATATGCACCTACTTACTTGTCCATATTTTGCAGAGGCAGGAATATCCCCTGGCCACTTGACCTTATTTCAATTATTATGATTATGACATGCTTGGGTAACACACAGAGAGGCCATACAACCACCAAATAGAACAAAAGCAGAATGATAATTGAAATAAAGGAGGCAAATCACACCATTTTCTTTGGAGCAATCTTCTCAGAGCCATATCAATAATTTTCATCTGCTTTACTTTGTCTTCTGGTAGTTTGAGGGGTTCTTTTTAAGGATCCCAAAGTTTTCCTCAGACAACTAAAGATATTCATCTTCCAAATCACATCTTATCCTATTTGATCTCTGTCAGTGGAAGAGAACAAACAGAGCAGAAGAAGGTGGCACCACACTGAAGGTTAGAGGAGCATGCAGAGATCTCACATATCCTGGCACAGTCATTCCAACAGGGGCTGTACCACC